GACGTAGGCATCTTTGCCGAACCTCGTTAAATCTCTGTGTTCTTCTGGATTTGTGTCGATTCATGTTTTTCTTCGCCCTAATTTTCTCAACAATGCAGGTACTTGAATAAAGAGTACATGATAGAAGCCAGAAAACTCACCTCATCTTTTTTAAAATATAATTTTTAAAAATTGTCTATATGATAAGTCATTATTCACATCTTAAGAAACCATAAAAGATAGATGCTTACAATAACACCATTCCCTAAAAAACCTGTCAATAGATTATTGACTTACACTATAAGTCGAGTGAAAATAAAATTTAACTTAATTATTCAAAATTAAAATTTGAACAAAATTATGACTTATATAATATGAGTCTATGTCTATCATCTGCATGAATCCAACTACTTTGAGACACAAGGTGAATAATGATTATAGCTTGACTGCCCTAACTCCGTCCAATCCTCCTCCTTCCATGTTGAAGTTGTCGTCCGTCACGAAATAAGTCTCGCCCAACTCGTGTCCCGTAGATAAATCGAGGGTTAAGAAGCCTGTGGTGTCTCAGAATCCCTCGAGGAGCAGGTAGATTGCACAACTGTAAACGTTCCACCTCGCAAACACTTTCTTGCGGGAGGTTTCACTTTCCCGAGCACCTTGGAAGAAGCTGCCTGGTGGTAGATTAGTTCCCGGATTTCTCTCAGATCGGTGACCGGACGATGGGCGATAGTCAGTACTCTTTCTCTCTCACCACCTTCAGGTATGTCTCCATTTTGCTCCGTTTTCTCCTCTTCCTTTCCTACCGCCGCCCGGCAATTTTTTTGGCTTCATATTTCTGTGTTTCTTTTTTTTTCAGTCCTTCAGGGAAGCTCGTACAGATAGAGCACGCTCTAATGGCTGTCGGCTCCGGTCAGACCTCTCTAGGGATCAAAGGTATATCTTAACTTTCCCGATTACGTTACCCCGTCTTGTTTCTCTCTTTGAAGCGGAATTCCTAGAACCCTGCACTATTTTTATTGGTTTATTCAAGTGTCAAACATATGATCCGAGGCCTTCAATACTGGAGACCTGCGGTTGGTGCGAGGAGCCTTGTAAATTATCAGGCACGTGGGCAGGGAACCGGATAAGAAAACGAGCCTGAAATATAAATTTGTATGTGAATTCCCTGGATTGGTGCTTAACTTTATTTTATTGTAGCTTTTGGTGGTCGATAGCTCTACTTTATGTGACCTCCAAGCTTTAGTTGCTTAATTGGCTGACTGGTGCTGTTCTGGTTCACCGAGTAGCTTATCTACAATTTTTTCCGGTACTCTCCTTAGGGTACATTGGAGATCGAGCCAATATTTTTGTGTTTTAGATTCAGGTTATGACTTAGAAGGCGACGTGATTTGGAAAAGACAAATAACTTCATATTGCAGCCGTTCAAGCTTGTTTATATGGTTGGTAATGTCATTACCTGATGCTGCTTTTTCTTATTTGAAATGTGGAAACTTTGCTATAACTTAGGTAATTGACGAGAGGGTCACAGTTAATAGCAATTCATCATTATATATTTAGAAACCTTGGTGAAAACTCTTTTTTTTTTTGGGTTTATTAGTGGGTTCCTGTAATTACTATTCATGGATAGTAGGGTCTAACCACTAGCTATGTTGCATTGCCATGGGCGAAATGAACTTTCTTAGTTATACATTCTAGTTATAATGGTAGGTGGTCACATAGATCAGGAATTTTTAAACTCTATGATAGGTAGATAGGGTAATTTTTTGTATTAATCTATTGGTGAGATTAATAAGCGCATGCTTTCAGAGACTTTGTCAAAGTTGTTTTTTGGGAAATAAGGTGTTATGATATTGGGATCACTACATAGCATGAGTAACAACTACGTATTGCTTTAAAAAATTAAATTTTAATTTGTTTGCAATGGAAGTGACAATTATCTTTCTCATTCTCTAATATGAATGTGAAGTCACTCTTTTCTGTTTTTCTTATTCAAATGCTACAAAATAAACTATCAAGAGGTGTAGACTAATAGCAAAATTTATCTAGACTTAATAAACATTTTTTCCGAACTTGTTTTCAACTCAAATGTTTTAATTCAAATTTCTAGTATGAACAATCCGAGGTGGGACTAAATCAGCACTCTTGAATTTCTTAATGAATATGTCACTAATGTGAGAACTCTTCTCATTGATTGTCATTTCCCTCCTTCCTTGAATGAAAGTTTGTAATTCCATTTGAACTTTTGCATTTAAATTTCAGCCATTTACGTAAAGTTGGTGTACCCATTTTTGAATCTCATTCAACCATAGTTGGAATTACGAATGCTCATGGGAGCCCCAAACTTTTAAACCACTCGATTCTAGCCAAACCATTCACTTTAATATCACTTTTCAGGAATTGTAGACTTAAGTAGGACCAAAGTTTGGCCTTATACCATGCATCAAGCCTAATTTTAATCAAGCAACTTAAGTTCATGGTTGAGAGCTAGACATCAGCATTTCTACACCATCATATTTTTAGTTATCCAATTTGGGATGAAACTAATTTCCTCATGCCCTTTAAAAGAAGTAGCTTCAATTACAATGCGAACACTAAAAATTTGTAAATTACACATTTTTTAATGACATTAGGACCAAAACTGTCATTTGCTGTTTTTGTTATATTAAGTTGGAGAATTCTATCTAATGAAAAACATGCTTTCTTATGAACTACCTGTTATGTAAGCCCTTGAAGGCAACTTGTCACAATACTAGTTATTGTTACTATACTAGTTGGGTCTGATACTAGTTAGGTATGCATGTTATTGTTTTTGTACTAGTTGGTATGCATGTTATTGTTACTCTACGAGTTGGGTCGCATGGGTTTCTTGACGTGATTGCACTGGCGTGACTTTGGTGTTCTTTATTGCATGTGAGTCTGAGTTGTTTTTAGTGAAATGCTTGTAATTTTTTTGGATTTTGTATTAACCTTATAACTTGATGAATATAAATAACACTTATAACATATTATCTATAATTTTGTATGTAATAATATGACAAATCTAATGAAAAAAAATTAGAAGACAAATTTTTAATTATAGAATAATTATTTATTTCATTCCATTTCAATCTTAGTTAAATAATATATCAAAAATAAAAAAAATATATTCATTAATTATTTTATATTTTTAAATAATATTAAAATATAAAATAATTTGAATACTTAAAATAATTCCCCTAGTGAATTTCCTAATGATAGCTTGAGCCAAAAAAAAAAGCATTTAACAAATACAAAATTGGCCTATCTGTAGGGGTGTAAACGAACCGAACACGAACGAACAGTGCTCGTGTCGTGTTCGGTTCGTTTGAAATATTGTTTGTTTGAAATAGACTCGTGTTCGAAATTGTTCGTGAAAGGTCTGTTCGTGTTCGGTTCGATTTGTTCGAAATTAGTTCGAATTGTTCGAATTGTTCGAATATGTTTGAAATGTTCGAAATGTTCGAAACTTTCGAAAATTTTCAAATTTTTTATATTTTTTAATATGTTAAATAGAAAAAAAAATTAAATATTAATTCTCACACCACATCAAAAATGCCACCATTTTAACTTTAAAAAATTGGAATAACTCTAAATAAAATATATAAGAATTATTAATTAATTCTCAAATTATCAAAAACAATAAATAAAAAACTTCCACAAAAACATCTCTTCATCATTAGTCAAACAAATAATATCTTACATAAATAGATAATGTTCAAATTGTAAATTCATTT